AATCGGGTGTAAATAAAATAAGTATGATTACATATGTGTCGCTGAGCATAAAAAAGTGAACACAGATCTGATCCAGAAAGAACGAAGCATGAAAAAGTATATTCTAGAATAAACTATGTCTGAAACAGATCTGTGTTCCCATTTTTATGATCAGCGACACATATATGAACGTAACAATTATTCTTGTTTACGCTGTCATTGGTGTGATTGGTGGGTGCATTTGATACATACGCCGATAATGACAATTGATGTAGGCAATGAAATGGTTCACAACTTTCTTCGCGGCATAAGCGATAATCGATTGTCCATGGAAAATGTGTCATCAAATTATGTGAAATTGTGCAAATGTCACATGATTCCGCAGCATTGTGTAGCCATTCCGTTTCAAAGCCACACCACAATTTTGAAATTCGCGTTCAATGAATTCCTCAAATCCATCAAATCAATTAGTGAAAACATTTGATTCATAATTTAGTGGATAATTCTTTTTCACCGAAACCGAATGTTCAGTTTCCCATGTGAAAGCGATACGTCGATGAAATGCATGAACAATGTCCATTGAACATTGTGAAAATGTAGACGTGGCGATGCAAGATGCAAATATTCTACGGTCGAGTAAATAACTTTTCAAGTTGAAGTATGAAAACTCCTGAATGGATGAATGGATGATGCCTGTGCACAAAATATGTTCATGCGGAAAGAGGGAGATAATGTGAGAGAGAATTTTCAAATGTTCAATTTTTTTGCCTTTTTACTGACCAAATTACCAGTTTATATTAATCATGAGCACAATTCTCATCGTCAGAATTTATTTTGATATTTTGGACCAGTTCGGACCAGTTTTTTGGACCAGTTTTAGTGCCAAAGTTCTTCTATTTTCTCACTTATCCCGTGTACCAATTTCCATCGAAATCGGACCACTTTAATTTTTTGTGATTTTTGGCATTTTTGCCCCATAACTCCGTAAACTTCCCAAAGCACCCCTAGATTTTTTTTCAAAATAAGTGTTTTTTTGGGGCAAGCTATCACTTGATAAACTAGAATCACCTTTTTCTGGCAAAAAAGCACGGTACGGGCCTGATTGATTAGCTCCAGTTTGACATTAGTAAATCAAAGCGATTGAATACTTCAATAGACGATTCAAAACCAATCTCATTCTCAACATCAACCACAAAAGTGATGCCAACAACGATTCCGATGTCACAGAAATGTTGGCTTCGATTGCCAACGATAGCAAGAAATGATAAAAAATACCAACATACGATAGCTACAAAATGGCCTCAGACATTCAAGTGCTGACATCCCAATAATTGAGAGATATAGTGCGATAGGAAAAATTGTACGAATCACTGCATATGTTTTTAAAGCGATACCGATATTAATGAATGCCTTGAAGAAGGGCACGAAGAAACTCGAAATCAAAACGAGCGAAATACTTGGATCACTCACACCCAAGCTATTGACTGAAGCGACGAACTATTGGATAAAGTACACGCAACACAAGTACTTTAGTGCCGAATTGGAAGCCTTAAAGCGAGAATATGGCATCAAATCAACAAGCAATTTGTTGCGAGTGAACGCTTTTCTAGATGCGGAAGGGATCATGCGAGCGAAAGGGCTGTTGTGGTTAAGTTGCTATGTAAAATGAAATGTATGTAAAGCCGACTAGGCGCACACCTGCATACGTATTCGTATGCAGTAGTGTGCGCTCGGCGACTAGAGAACGCCAAAATAAATCGTTGCACGCGTATGTCACACATACGCGATGCATACGGTTTGGCACCGCATTATAATTCAAGTTGAATAAACCATTTTAGTCTTTATTTTACATTCCTACACTTCGTGTATTACTAAAATGGCGTTGCGTCAGCTCTGAATCTCATCCTAACCACTTGAGTCAAACAGTGAAATTAAAACATCAAATAATAAAAGGTTGCGCAAAGTGAGGAAAGTGAATAGGGCTCAAAGTGATAGAAGCGATGGTGAAAAAAAACATTCGATAAATTGGAAGCTGGAATCACGGACTTTGAAGTTGGAAATTGATTTAGCCACTGCGGCCATCAATTCAACCTGCTCGTGATAAATATTTTACAAACCAGCAGACATGGAACATCATCCCAAATCGAACACAATGGGCTCAGCAAGATATATCATCGTTGGCCCTGGTATTCACAAAATTAGACGAAAAAAAATTAAGAGAATAATACACGAATACACAAAGACCAAATCGCATCGCAAACTGACAATCAGTAAAAACTAAAACCGAAGCAAAACAACGAGGGAATGCAGCAAATGAGTGAAATTGACACGCGCAAGTTAAACGAACAAAGAACAGCCAATTGTGCAAAATTGAATTTGACACCAAAGCAGCAGCAAATATGCATATGACGTGAATATTGTACAATTTTACAAACGACTGGAGGGAAGTAAAAAAAAACCAAACTCGAGAGCGGCGTAGTGAGAGAACTTACATCAACACAATCCCAGAACGAGCCGCGAGCCGTTAAATTGTGAAATAAATTGAGTAGTTTCATTTATTGAAATACATCAGCGAATCAAACGGGTTGGAGTCCAAGTAAATTCCATTTCCATAACTTCGTACAAAAAACAAAATATTGAATTGAATTGAATTTTGATTCTATAAATGCTGAATGTTCAATAATTTCTTTAACGCTTGCACCTTTTTATGTCATTATTATTTGCATTCATGTTCTTGTATTCCTCTTACTTCGTTCTAAAATTTTGGTCACACACATAAATTAAAAAAAAACATAATAAGTCAGGGTAAAACAAATGAAATAAATCATATCTGAGTGTGAACCTTCAAATTTAGTTTGAATTAAAAATTTTGAATTTGAAAGTTACTAAAAACAAACATTGATTGACGAACTTAAATGTCACATATGATGAAAAACATCCAATTATTCTACCAGCGAAATCAACTTTGACACTGCGGTTGTTAGAGGAAGCTCACAAAGAAATGCTTCACGGTAACATACAATTAATGTTACATTATATCCGAACGAAATATTGGATAATTGGAGCGCGAAAAGCGTCGGCCAATATAGCCAAAGGTTGTGTAGAATATCGAAGATATGCGAATATAGAGCGAACTCAGTTAATGAGTTATTTACCCGAAGTGCGATTGTCAAATTCTAGACCATTCACCAACTGTGGTGTTGATTACTTTGGGCCAATTCAAGTGCAGCGATATGAAGAACGATGCAAATCGATTGACACAGGCTATGGAGCTGTGTTTGTGTGTTTATCAACGAAAATGGTTCATATTGGGTGTGTTTCAAATCTCACAACCGAACGATTCATATGAGCACTAGCGAGATTATCATCGATTTATCAAATGCCGAAGAAAATGGAAAGCGATAATGGAAAAACATTTATTGGAGCGAAAAATGAATTGTGCAATGTTGTTGAAAACTTGGAAATCTGACGAAATAAGCGATTGGTTGAATGGCAAAGGAGTCCAATGGAAATTCATAACACCAAGGGCACTTCATCACGGGGGAATGTGGGAGTCGGCCGTAAAATTAGCGAAATATTATATGAAGCGACTGTTGTGCGATCAAATTCTCACGTTCGAGCGATATCAAACATTGTTTGCAAAAATCACAGCAGTCTTGAACAGCCGTCCACTTGTACCATTGTCAGTCGAACCGAGCGATTTAAATTATTTAACACCGGCTCACGCGGTCACTGGAGAAAGAACGATCCAACCATTATCAATGGACTTGAGCGATATACCAATGAATCGTGTCAAACAACAATGAATTCTCGACAAAATCCAACAAGATTTTTGGAATGTTTGGCGAACGGAATACGTCAGCACTCTACAAACGCGATATAAATGGAATAAAGCCGAATCAAATCTCAAAGTGGGCGATTTGGTAATTCTAAAGTTGGACAATTCACCACCTGGAGTGTGGCCAGTAGCGCGAATAATCGAAACATATCCTGGATCTGATGGTTTAGTGCGAACAGTTAAGATGAAAACCACATCGAGCGAATTGATGCGACCAATAACAAAATTGGTGCGATTACATCCAGAAGAAGCGAATGATACGAACACAGTGAACGATCCGAAAATACATCTTACCTACCTCGATTATACAGTCTACGAATGATGCGATTATACAGTCTACAACCGAATAAAGGATGAATGGAATTATATGAAATTAGTATTAAATGAATTGTAATTTATTCCGATTGAATTTATTGTATCTATTTATGTTTCCTTCACTCCGTTCATGGGGCGGGAGCAGCGTTTGTTTAAGATATCTATTTTAGATAAGATATTAAGATAAGATAGATAGTATCTATTATCTTATCTAGATAATTTTTCAAAAATGTTGAAAATCTCATCTATTATCTCTGATGATATTTAGTCATTCGACTATTCAGAACAATGTCAATTCAGGATTGGTGAAATTGTTGGAGCGTTGGATCATTGGTTGAACTGATTTGGATTTGTCCATCAATATTATCCATCGATTTTCATTCACCATTCACCATTCATAACTATTTACCAATTCATTTTCAAACATATTTTTTTCTATTCAATTTATCAAACGTTTATTAAGTTTTTGCTATAGCTAAGCTCCATTCGAAACCGTGACAAAAACCAGATGTATGTCAAATTTTAGCTAGAATAAAATGAAAAAAAGGCCAACAAAACACTTTGACCTGTCTACTTTGTATGAAAATTGTCAAGATTTGGTAATAGCTATTGGGTTTTATAAAACCAGAAGTGGCAAAATGGATGCTTTGTAGCGCTGCACTTGGTCAAATCCGTCTGGTTGTGACTTTGATTTCAATCCGCAATGCAAACTCTTGACGAAATGTATCGAAGAGCTGATCCACGAATGAATGAAATTTGTCAACAGAATTTAGGAATTTATTTCCTTTTCCATCCTTACTGGCCATGTCTGAGGTAGGTATTCTTAATCGGACGGTGATAAAACTAAACTTTAAAATCATGAACGTAATTTTTCCTTATCATATTCTTCTGGTTTTTTTTTATTCTTTTTTTGCTTCAAACGCTGAAATAACATAGTAACATTTTTAAAAAGGTCTTCTTGTGTGCTTCCGCTGGGTAGTTTTTCATCTGATAACCAATAATCGATAAAGAAGTTGCTCATATTCATTCTTTCTCATTTCATATTCTTTTGAATAACTTAATCTATACTCTTTAAAAAGATTCTATTTTTCTGGTGAAAAATTGGCAACATTCTAAATTGAATATTAAAACCAATTTTTGTTTCTGATGATTTTATTTTTTGTTGCTTCTTTTTCTTGTGTGCACTTTTGCTGGCTACAATTTCTATTTGTATTGCCATTTATTTCAATTTTATTTGATTCAATCAACAATTTTCACTAACAATGGCTTCGAATCAGCCTGAAATGTGTTTATGGACTTGTTGGGCTGTAGGTATTTGTTGGGCTGGTCGGTGTGTATGGTGTATTTTGAGACATTGCCGATGGACTATAGCCAGTACTGCTAGAACCTGGAATAATAGACAACATTTTGCATTTAGTATTTACTCTATTTGGAAAAATATAGACAAGAACATTGATCGTGGTCGATCAGTGATTGTATGAATCTCAATCGGAAAAACGTTTAATTGAACCATTTTTTGCGATTGAAACACCAGTTGCGATTCATAACTAATGATAAATGTAAGGGAAAAATCATGTAAAAAAATTTACCTGGAGTATTTGTAGCTGGAGAGAAGTAATTTGGACTAGTTGGTGAGTAATTCGGCGAAGTTGGGCTGTAATTGAAAATGAATTCGGTTAGAAAAACATGGTCAGTAGATCGTCGAATGATATGGCTATGATTTCAATGCGAAGAGGTCATTTTTAGCTCTTACCTATAGTTTGGACTGGATGGAGAATACCGCGGCGATGATGGGCTGTAGTTAGAAGGACTGGCAGGCGAATAAGTTGGTGAAGCTGGACTATAACCTACAAATTAAACAAAAAATTGTTAGAACATTTACTAAGAAATTAATATTACATTTTAAAATATCCTTAATGAATGATGAATCTTATCAAAATTAATGATGAAACACATTAGAAGATTCTCATAAAAACTGTCATCAAAATATTGTTTCAATCGAAATATAGATTTGAGTCAAATTTCATGTGACAAACCAAAATATTTCAGCTTTGTGCTCAAATAAGAAACCTCCATTTCGTTTCTTCTTCACACAGAACATTTTAATCAATGAAAACCCTATTTTGATTAAAAAATGTACTAAAACCGTTGTGAGCATATCAATTGATCTGTATTTACCTGGAGATGATGGAAGATAGTTGGGTGAAGCAGGCACATACGATGGTGTTGCAGGCGTATAATTGGGACTTGTTGGCGAATATGACAATGTGTTTTGTGACATTGCTGATGGGCTGTAGCCAGTGCTGCCAGATCCTGTAAAATTGATTTAAAATAATCATTAGTTTAGGTTCTGACATTCGTCTCGATCGATTCGAATGTAGACGATTTTCTATCATAGCGATTGTTTAGAGCGAGTGTCGTCATTTACCTGGAGTGTTTGTTGCAGGTGAAAAGTAGTTCGGTGACGTCGGCGAATAGTTTGGTGACGTCGGGCTGTAGCTTGGACTCGATGGCGAGTAGCTTGGCGACGAGGGACTGTAAAATTGCGAATGGCATTGTGTTAATTTTGGAGAAATAAATCAATAGAATCAATTGGATAAACCAATGAGTTAAAATAAACGATTTCAAAATAAATTTGAGTGTATTTTACCTGTATGATGGAGATGAAGGGCTGTATGAAGGGCTCGTCGGAGAATAACGTGGAGACGTTGGACTGAAATAAGTAAATTAAAGATTTGTTATTATTTTCAAAGGTATTACGAAGTTTTGTATGAATATATGACAACGAATTTTCTTCCAAAAAAACATTTTTCATAAAAAGAAAGATTCAAAAGAATCGTTACCTGTAGCTCGGCGATGTGGGACTGTACGATGGCGATGTCGGTGTCTAAAGAATAAAAATGAAAATGAAAATGAAAATTGAATATCGGTTTTTGTATGAATTTTGCCATGAAACTTACGTATTGTTGCGGTGATAGCGGTGAGTATGAGCTTTGTTGATTGAATGATGGGCTCATCGAAGGATGTGAGCTGACCGAGTACGAATTCATGGAAGCTGGTGAATATGTTGGGCTCACTGGCGAATAGTGGTGTGGTGAAGCCGGATTTGGGCTTGTCAACGAATAACTTGGACTGGCCGAACCATATGCCGGTGATGTTGGTGAATAGTTCGGGCTGTTTGGTGAATAATTCGATATCGATCCAGGCGATTGATAGTTTGGACTCGATGGCGAATAAGCTGGCGATGCACTTGGTGAATTGTATCCGTATGGTGACATAGCTGGATTGCTTGGGGAGCCGGGCGATCCGATATGTGATGGTGACCATCCAGGCGACAGGCCAGATGCATCTGATGCACCAGACGGTGAAAAACTTGGACCACCAGGAGTCATACCACTTGCTGTAAGATGCAAACAAGATGCGATTTAGTTGAGTCTCATTTTAATCGAAATTTTGAAAGGCGATCTTATTGAAAGCACAAGGCCAATGAATTCAGAAGAATTAAGAAGAATTATCAAATGAAAAGAGTTTGAAAACCTACTTGGTCCCATCGGCGATGCTTCCGGATGTGATGGTGTTTGTGTGAGCCATGGTGTTCTTCCCGGGCTTAAAGTCGATGGCGTAGCTGCGCCAAAGAACATGCCAGTAGCGCCGAATGGTCCAGGTCCCATGGTGCTTTGAATTTCAATACCAAACTTGCACTTTTCGGCATCCAAGAGTAAATCGAAACATCCGGTGCCCATTTTTGGCAATTGTCCCATGATAATATTTTCCGACACACCTCTCATTGGATCGTTTTCAGCGTGTGACGCGGCATCCATGAGCACATCAACCGTTTCTTCGAATGAGCATCTCATCAGTGCACCAGTATCTTGTCGATTGATACCGTGACGTGTGATGGCCATCAAATGGCCCTTAGCCGTCATCACATCGCACAACAAGGCTAAATGCCGATAGTTGACGTACAATCCGTAGAATTGCAACACGGCATTCATTTCTTTTTCAACGGATTTTCGCACCGCTTCGATTCCAAGCACTTGGAAAATCTCACAAATATCGTTACTGTACGTACGAACCGGATCCACATCACGTTCGCTCAATACTTTCATCATTGAAGTACCGTCCGTTTCCAATAGCCATTCGCCAATGGCCTTGAATTCACCGGTTTCAGTGATTGAAATCCGTTTCTTACTGTCTGTTTGTGGCAAATGCATGTACACTTTGCTAATGGCTTCGATACCTTGCAGTGTCATATCGGACAACATGTTCGCTTCAATGCAACGCAAGAACATATCGTCTTCCATTTTATCAACGGTGTCCTCTTCATTGTCTTGGAATTTACTGTCTTCACTGTTCATGATACGAATACGTAGTACCAATTTGTCAGCGTTATCATCATTGAAGATACAATTCAAATCCTCACCAAAACCGGCATTAATCTTCTCCGCAATCTGTTCCATGGTCAATTTCTTATCAGTCATACGTTTGCGATCCAATTCAATACGCAACAGCCATGGTGAAATTCGTGTTGGATCGAAATCCGGCATTTCATAGTAAACGTTAACGAATTCTTGATCTTCGGCGATAACAGTTCGTTGTGGATCGGGATCATAGTAGATGGCCGTGTTTGCGGTGACCTTACGCAAAGTGGTGTGTTCCAAGCGACACAGTACATTTTTGGCTTTTTCAGCATCACGTGCAGCACCGCCGGTCAAGAAAACGGTCAACGATGGAGCTTTCGGTTTCTTTGAAATGTTGATAATTTCCTTTAAACGAGGCACACCCAGTGTTACGTTCTTCGATGACACACCAGCAAAATGGAAAGTGTTCAGTGTCATCTGAGTGGCCGGTTCACCGAGTGACTGAGCGGCCAAAGCGCCAACCATTTCACCTGGGTTGGCTTGAGCCTGTTGGAAACGTGATTCAATTTCACCCACCAACCATTCAAACGCTTCGCTGGTCAAACGATGATCTTCGGCCACATATTTGGTGCACAGCGTTGAACGCACCAAACACTGGAACAGCAATGTTGCATTTTCATTGGCTTGCTTCGAAATTCGATCGTTACCCGCTACAATTACACATTTTTGTAGCAATTCTTTGACACCATTGATCACTTTGATTGGACTCAAATCGGTTGGCACACGTTTGTTAATGTGGAAAATCTTCTGTACATTCCAAATCATACGCTGTAAATTGCATGGCAATACGACTTTTGATTCACCACTTGGGAAAATCTGACGCAATGCCTCACGATCACGGCACAATTGATCCCATTCACCTTCCAGCTCTTGGATTACGAAACCCGATTCCGTCAATTCTTTTACAACATCCTCATTGAAAATGCGTCGCAAGTAACGTTCATTGGACATATCGAATTTGAAACGTTTCTCAAATGTTTTGTGCGACAATTTAATCGTCGGCAAACTTTGGAATTCGACCGTTTCACCGCACAGACCATCCTCACCGTACCGCAATTGAATCAATTGTCCAACCGAATTACGAACGGTTCCATCGTAGTTTACCATCACCGACTCCATAGCTTTGATCAAACGACGTTGGATATAACCAGTTTCGGCGGTTTTTACAGCAGTATCGATAAGACCTTCACGACCTCCCATAGCGTGGAAATAGAATTCAGACGGTGTCAAACCGGCCAGATATGAATTTTCAACGAAACCTCTTGAATCCGGACCGTAATCGTCTTTAATGAAATGTGGCAACGTTCGCTTACGGAACCCGAACGGAATACGTTTACCTTCAACGTTTTGTTGACCTACACAAGCAATAACCTATTGGAATTGGATTGAATGACAATTGAATCCATTATTAATTTTGTTTTGGGATTGTTTGTCATCGGTCAAATAAAAACTTTCAATAATCAATAGAAAAATGTCCATAATCTAAATAAAAATGGTTCACAAAACTCACTTGAGAAATGTTGATGTTGGAACCTTTTGAACCCGAAACGACCATAGCCTTTAGATTATTGTATTCAGTCAATGATTTCTTCGCAGAGCCACCAGTTTTATCACGAGCATCGTTCAAAATACGATTTACTTGATTTTCGAAAGTCTGACGCAACGTATTACCGGGTGTGGGTTCCAATTCCATGTTGTGAGCCTTTTGAATAACGCCAATGACATCTTCTTTGGCTTTCCTAATGGACTGTTGAATTTCGTGATATGTCTGCGGATCAGCAATTGTGTCACCAATACCCATACTGTGACCTTCCAACAGCAACCAATTGTTAACCGTTGTCTGAATATTACCGTAGAATCGACCGGCTATCTCGTGGCCCAATTCAAGGAACACAATGTGCAACAGTGAACCAGCCGATGTTCCCAGTGTTTTCTTACATAAAATGCCCATAATCAATTCACTGTGTTCGACCATGACCTTTGTGTCACCGGGCGAGATCCATTTGTATGGCCCGTCATCCTCTTCGTCTGGATGTGTTGAATGGGTTCGAATCAGGTTCACATTGCCGGGAATAATGAGGGTGAACAATTGCTTTCCGGTCCATAGTGGCTTTGGTTTTAAAATACATGGTTGTGGCATTTTACCGTCCCAAGTTGGCAAAAACATGAGCAAATTCATCATTTGCTCCTTCTCAATGAAAACATCACGTTTGGTCATTTTTCGTACTGCGGTCAATGTATCTTGCACAATACCCATAACCGGTTTGTTTGCTTGCGGTGTGATAATTTGGCGCGGTGTTATGTGAATATTTTCCACTTCGGCACGCGTTTCCATCGATTGTGGCACGTGCAAGTTCATTTCGTCACCGTCGAAATCGGCATTGTAAGGCGATGTACAACTGAGGTTCATTCTGAAATTGGCATCGCAATAAAGAAATTAGAATCGTTTCTTTGTTGTTTTTTTTTTCTTGTTTGCACTTTAAATTGAAATGATAACGAAAATGAATGCTTACCGAAAGGTTGACCAAGGCAACACTTTGACTCTGTGACCCATCATACTCATCTTGTGCAGCGTTGGTTGTCGATTGAAAATGACCAAATCATCGTCGCGCAAATGTCGTTCAACTTTGTAGCCCCATTGCAAATGCAAATCACTGGGTTTCGGATGGAATCTTAAATCGATACGTTCACCATTGTCACGAACGATATATTTGGCGCCGGGATATTGTGAATGTCCACGCTTAACCAGCTCTTGCATGCGATCGATGTTGAATGGTGTGACGAGTTCGGGGAACGTTAAATTTTGTGCAATCGAACGTGGAACGCCGACTTGATCGATACGCAAATTTGGATCAGGTGTGATGACCGTACGTGCGGAGAAATCGACACGTTTTCCCATCAAATTACCACGAATACGACCTTCTTTACCTTTGAGCCGAGCCTTGACCGCTTTTAATGGTTTGCCGGATTTTTGTGTTGCACGCGGCATACCGGGCATATCATTGTCTGTGAATGTGGCCACATGAAATTGTAGCATTTTAATATTTTCGGCGATAACATGGGCGGCCGCACCAATCGCTTCGTTCTTTTTCAGTTCATTGTTTGCTTTGATAATGTCGGCCAGTTTGTGCGTTAAATCGTCTTGATTTTTAGCCGAACCGAACATAACAACGGCTGGTCGTACCGACAACGGTGGCACCGGCATCACGGTGACAATCATCCAATCGGGCCGCGCATATTTCGGATCCATACCAAGTATGTAACATTCTTCGTCGGTGATATGCTTGAAAATTTCCCACACCCGTTCGGCTGTCACCACAATCTTTTTCTCCTGTGAATTTTCATTGACATTTTTCCATTCGGCGGTTAATTCCAATCCGCTTCGTTTAATTGACGGTTGATAATGACCGCAACCGCCATGACCTTGTTTCTTTGTTGGATCAGCTTGGGCAGCGTCTTTTGCCAAATCCATATCTTCACCACCCTCACAAATCTTTTTACCTTTACACAAATCATACACATATGTCAAACGTTTACGTGGTTGTCCTTTTGTTTTCATAACAACTTCTTTGATTTTCGGATTCGTTGAGCTAACCAGCATTTTCGAACAGTAGAAGCACACGCAGCGCAGAATTTTCATGGTTTTTGTCAAGAAGCCGACGTGGTAAACGGGTTTGCATAATTCAATGTGACCAAAGTGGCCGGGACATTCAGTCATATTGCCGGCACAAGTTTGACATCGGGATGTACGTTCGATCACACCTTGACGCGGATCCATTAAACCGCCAAGCTTTGGTCGACCACCTTCCATCGTCTCGGGATACTGAATTCCACCTTCCGTAACTGACATACGACGCTAAAATACAAATGATGTAAAGCAAATAGTTTTTTTTCTTTCTTTTCAAACTAAGCCATAAGAGAACCATGTAAAAAATGAAGAAAATTGCCACAACCAAAGAGTTTTCCCATTTCTATGTCCATAAAAACCAAAACATTTTGATTTCGCAATATTATGAAATTCCTTTTTGTACTTACGATTTCATCGGGTGATAGAATACCGAATTGCACACGCTTCACCGTGCGCAACGTTGCCTTGGAGTCACTCATAGCCATTTTGGTACGATATTTTTTTGTGAATTAATTTGTCTCGGTCCTCAACAACAATAACAACAACAACAAAAAAATAAAAAAATAAACGCACAAAAAATGAGAATCACGCGGATGGTCTTTGCCGCCACTCACAATGACACACTGTGTAACTGTTTTTCTCGTTTTTTACTTTTGTTCGATTCGCCTGTTTTGTGTGAAAATCAAAATTGACAGAAGATACACTGAATGTATGCAGTTTTTTTTTGTACTGCCACTTAAACTACTACTGAGATGAGAGATGGTCAGTTCCTCTATCGTTTTCCACCTGCAAATTTGTCGAGGAAAAAATATGCCATTGAACCAATGTTTATGTTTTTCGCATTGTGCTCGTCAAATACCTTCGATTAAATCCAATTTGTGTTGAAAATAGCGGCAAAATTATGAAAAATTCACAAAAATTATCGAGACAAGAATTCTAAAGCGTCACTGTTTCGACACATTGTATGAATCGAATAGCCGTCGGTTTTTCGATGTCAAGTTGGCATCACTTGCATGGCCCGACTGAGATATAGATTTGAACATTGTGTTGACACTTCAAATGGAATCAAGCAACGCCATCTATCGTCACATTTTGAATGGTGGATAAATGATTTCTTTAAATGTTTTTACTCGTGAATTTCATGAGAATTCGTTTAAAATACGAAAACAAAAGAACAAAAATCGATTGAATTTATGGGTAATTTTTTAGAATGATTGAACTTAATTGGAAACTGAATTTAATTGTGAAATAAATTTTATTCGTAACCGAAATTAAATTCTTTGAACGCATTTCGGTTTTTTCGTCTTCAAAAGCTAAAAGCCTTAATAAAAGGTATAAATTAAAATACTGAAGGCAGTCATATGATATCATTGACGATTAAAAGTGAGTGTTTCCCTTCATCAGTTGCTATATATGTGGAGCATGCTAAATGGGCGAACATATGATAATTTTTTTTCCGCTGCGTCAAGAATACTCCGCTTAGTCAGCATTCCAAGTTGAAGCATTGATTGTTTTGTTTCATGTTTTGAGTGGTTTTAATTTGCCCATCGAGACAACTGAGTCGGCAAAATTGTTGCGAGAAAATTATGTGTCGACCGAAAGAGAGAGAGAGAGAGAGAGAGAGAGAGAGAGAGAGAGTGAAAAATGGCACAAAGATAAAAAACATGCATACAACGGGTGTGAATTGCGATTATATGTCTGGGTGTTGGTGAGTGGATAGTATCCTGTTTATATGAACGAACAAGAGAGACGGAGTTGAATTGGTCTCTTCGTGGGAAGAAAAAAAACAGTTCCCGTTCTCACTTCCGAATATTTCTCTGAAGCACACCGTGGAAATGTCGCGTGCGCTCTCTCACAGTTTTGCGAGAGAGCATGTGAGAGCGGAACTCTCTGGCAGTGGGGTTGGCCGCACACAAACATTGCAATCCCAAAACAACACTCACATAACGCATAAACCGATTTTCGTATTCTAACAACAACAACAGCCAGCAACGCGCTGTCGACAGCCATAAATCTGTAAGAAGAGAGAGAGAAAAAAAAAGAACGAGCGACTACTGTTGTTCTTAGAATTCGATCTGTCGGGAAACACACACGGAGCAATACACACAGTGACGAAGAGAGTTTCACAGGCCGACAACAACGAAGAGAATATGAAACATATTAACGTGAACACTGAACACACTCTCCATGAAATGTGCTCACATTTATCATGTGCATAAAATACACAGACATACACACTAGCTCTTTGCAACACACTCATACAAATACATATACATACAGCAACTAGGAAACAGCACAGCGAGCGAGAGAAAGAGAGAGGGAGAGAGGGAGAGAGAGAGAGAAAGAACCACAGACACACATTGAGAGACGCTATTTGTCACACGCTCTCGCCCATACGTGCGGATCGAAATATGAACAGTACTGCTGCTATCGTACCTACTACCGCTGCTGCTGCTGCTGCTGATTTTGTCAGTGTATATGGGGGGCTAGCAATACGCTCTCGATGCTGCTTGTGTGTTTATGTATGTTGTGTGTCTTAAAGGCGAAAAATTGAGCGAGCTCTGCTGTAATGTGTGTGTACAATTTTGAAAAGAAGCAGAGTGAAAAAAAAGGAATAGTGCTCACACAGTTCACACAGTGCGCGCTGGAGCCAGTGTTGAGAACAGAATCAAATATGGCCGTTCCGCAGCGATGTAATTAAATTTTGTGGTGTATTCGTCGTGTTATTTAGTTTTTTCCATTCGTTTGATACGGAATTTTTGTGTGTGAAAGCCATTGCATTTCCATGGCATTTTCAATGGACATTGTCGAACAATTTAGAATTTCGCCCATTTACACGGTATCCGGTGCGATTGCCCAGTGAAAACAAACGAACAGAACTATCGGCTGATTATTTAAATTTGTCTTTTTTTTATGCGAGCGACAGAGAGTGTGTGATCAAAGAAAACAATTACGGTTTGTGTAGTGTTTTTGTGCGCGCGAGCGAACGAGAGAAAGAGAGTAAATAGTAGAAGAAGACGGCAAAAAAAACTCAACTCGAAACAGGGAGAGAGAGAGAGAGAGAACGATATAAACAAAAGATGAGAATGGACCTATGAGTAGCTTTTTCGCTCAATTCACAAACTGCAAACAGCATGAATACAAACTTTAATCCTGCGATCGATTATGATTTTTTTTTCTTTCGCTCTATTGTTGTTGTTTGTCTCTGAAAACAGAAGAAAAAAACTCGATTAAGACCGATTTTTGTTTGCTGTTTTTTCTTGCAAAACCAAGTGACAAAGAAAAAAAAAGTTAAACAAAATCTTTGATAAAAAACGAAATCCAGAGGCAAGAAAACAGTGAGACGAACGTCGGGAAAACAGTGAGAGTCTTTGTGTCAGTGGAATCGGTGTTTGATTTGTCGATAATTATTGGGTATTGAAGCATTTCTCGTAACCATATTATATCATAATAATCCCATTGATGATTGCGAATGAGTTGTCTGTCTGTGAAAATAAAAAAAAACGAATCAACACAACATATTCCGCATATGATAACATAAAAACTCGGGTCTCTCGTTTTATTCATCCATTTTTCTTCAATGAACAAACTATGTAGCTGCATAGACAATAAAGGTTGCGTTTTTTTGTTGTTGTAAAGGGGGAAAAAAACCACTAAGATACAATTGTGTGTTTGATATAATTCGCTTATGCTAATATAAAACAAAGCAGAAAAAAGAAGAAGAAAAGAAAAACACAGCAACAAAGAGATAAAAAAAAGGCAACGACAGACAATAACACACGGTGAATGATGGCATAATTTCGACGGAAAACTTATTGAATACATGTACGACGATACCACACGATTTCATTCGATGGGATTAAAGCAACAGAACCGAAAGCAAACGAAAGAAAGTAAAAAAAAAAACCTCAAGTGACTATTTTTCACGTCTTCAGTGTGTGTGTGTGTGTACGTTTTTTTTATCCACTCTCGATTCGTTGAAAAATTCAACATTTTTTGGTGTTAAATAGAAAATTGGCAAGAGAATAAGGAAAAGAAATATGCGCCCATTTTCATTCGGTTGGATAAAATATATATTCAGTGATATATCCATGTCGTATCTATCATATATGCTTGTGTCTGTTTTAATGAATGTTTGTTACTCCATTTAAATGCTATCAATCGCGTTCCAACGAACTATAGGTGCATACTAGACCATCGCCACCATCAACACCAACACCAACACCAACACCACAACCAAAAACAAGAACAATCAAGACAGCTAAATAGCAGCTATTTAAAAAAAAAAAAAACAAAAGAAAATTATTAGTTTCCACAAGGATAATATTATCCAGCTAACTAGCCAAGACACACCGATTAGATAATTACACCCGTTTACGCAGAATTTATATTCGACCAGTGTTTGTTGTTTGGATATTTTTCGTGTATGTGTGTATTATTTTTCAATTTTTGACATAATCGACTGTGCAAATTGACTAGAAAGATAGAAGAAAAGCAAACACCGTGCGTACCATCGCACCAACCAACGCCAATTTTCCAATTTAGTCAGTGAAGTCAGTACATACCACAGGACCAGAGAAGCTACAGCAAAAGCATTGATCAAACGAAATGTGGTAAGTAGAATCATAAAAATGGGAAAAAAAATGTGCCCGAATATTAAAGTTCATGCGTGCTGAACTTTTTTTTTCCCTTCATCAAATTTATTTTACTCTCGCTTGTACGCGATAGAGAAAGTGTAGCTCTCTCATTTGCTCTTTTTCGGACTTATGTCGCGGTATGCAAACGCAAAATCCACCAAAAAGAAGAAGAAAAATTGTTCATGATTTTGAATTGAGGAAGAAGTGAGTAACAGGCGAGAGAGTGAAAAAAAAAGCAAACGAACAAAACACAAACGACATAAAAATGAAACAAAGAATCGCGCTGAAATATGAATCGCCTGCAAGCAATGCAACCACAGCAGCAGCAGTATATTCAATTCCGTGATAAAATATACAGAGAAAAATGGGTTTAAGTTACTATTAGTCATCAAAATAGAGGCCGAGTGCATTGGCTCATCGGAGTGTGGCATGCACACGGTGCAGCATCGAAGTGAAAAAAAAACATTTAAATTGAAATGAATGAAAGAGAGAGAGAGGGAGAGAGAGAGAGAGGGAGAGAGAGAGAGAGAGAAAAATGGTTGAAAGATAATTTCAGGTTAAAGAAGCGTATCATTTTCAACAAATATATATAGTTGTCAACGTTTTGAATTTGAAGCCCATGGAATTGGTGTATTTATTTGTTATGTGGCTTCTGCATCCCCATTGAATTATATTTCATCGAAAAGTGCATACACATCTATCGCTTTTAATATCGAAAAGCCAAAAAAAAAACGAAATGAAACGATGAGTTACACCTTGTGTGAACCACGGTATGTGTGGACAGTTTTCGTTGCTGTTTTTCTGATTTGTTATGCACACAAAGTCCTCATTTTTTTTTATCTGTCTTGTTTCCTTTGCGCTGCTGAACACATTCATACACACAACGACAAGAAGAAGAAGAAGGAAAAAAACGCTGTTCCATGAAGCAACACACACGTCGGGCGGCGAAACGATACATGGCTAAACGCAAATGCGAATGCATGAGCCATATCATATTGGTGGCGTGTGCGGACCGGAGCGAGACAGAATGAGGAGATTGAGAGAGCAACGACAACGATTTGTTTGGTTGTAATATGAAATGTGTGCGACAAATACGTACTACGGAACGCATTGCACACTCGCGCTATACTCACATATTCTCTTTCACTTGCTCTCTCTCTCTCTCTCTCTCTCTCTCCCTTTCTCGCAATTACTCCGAGTTTTAAGCCCAACAAGACAGAATATGAGCATGACTAGAGACTTTCAAACACATCACATCCATTTGTGAGTTTGGGCTGCTTTCAATTTAGATATTTTTTTATTATTATTATTTCTGCGTTTTTGTCTCTGTTTCTCTCTTTTTTCATTCGCTCCGGTCTCTTCCGTTGTCTTTCTCACTTTCAAATTCGGATATTAGTAGTATTCTGTACCTATTTTTGACATTCGGCTGTGTTGAATGCAGTACAAACAGAAGAACACACACCAACCAAATGAATATTATTTAGGGTGATTTTCACATGGAACATGGATGTGAGAAATGAGGTCCCGATTTTTATGGGTCTCGTTCTATAATAATTTTCTTTTTATTCTCGTTCTCCTGTTTTCAGACAAATCAAACAATAATATTTTGTCGCAACTCTCACAAATTTGATGTTGTTGGCACAATGTTTGTATTACGTTAGGGGTTTTCCCAAATCGAAATGTGTCACTCGTTGAGAGAGAGAGAGAGAGAGAGAGAGAGAGAGAGAGAGAGTGTGCTCAAGTTCGATTCGCAATTAGTCGGAGACTAGGCACGCACGTCACCTACCTAATGAGAAAGTGACTCATTTTCGGTTGATTCACTGCCAATCCCCCAATGCTATTGTCATTAAAACAAATTCATTGCTTTACGACTCATCGACTTTGGGCTTAACATTTTTTGAACGAAAATCTCAAAGTTTGCATGCAAAACAAGATTTCAACCGAAACAACAACAACAATGAAGAAATCAACGTAAAACACAGAAAGAAAAAAAAATGAACCAGAAGAAAGAAAAAAAAGCACAAAGTTAAAAGATCGGCAACACCGGCAGATGTTTTTAATCTCTCCCAATGAGAGAAAGGCCATCGCAAAATGCATCCAACTCGAATGATTTAGTAAATCATGTACACTAAATTATTGCGAACGGCTGCTGCTGCTGCTTCGTTGATATTCCCAAAAGATCCGAATTTCTGAGATCCACGCGCCCCAATTTACCGGTCAAACAGTTTGCCAGCCCACATATTTGACTTCAAATAACCCAGTCAACATGATTTTTTTGTATGGTGCAGCAGCAATTTTTCGTACTTTTCCTTCTGGTGTCCTGTATTCTCTTCCGATTCTGCCTGAGTTGTGCATTTAAAAGGACGTGTTTGTTTTTTCTTTTTTTGTTTCAAAGTGCAAATTTTAGCCGTCTCATTTGCTATGCAAAACAGAAAGATAATAAACAACAGCAACGAGAGAGAGAGAAAAACCCCAAACCTCAAACCATATGTCAAGTTTAAATAGCATACACATTCGATTTGTGTAACAGCAACCAAATGGAGTGCAAGAAGTCGTTTTTAGCATCAGTGAACCACATCACTCAATTTGTGCACTCTAAAGTCATGTTTTTTCAGATGAAGAGATTCAGAAAGAAAGAGAGGAAAAAAACACAGCAACAACACTGCCATACTTATTTGTGCTCTGTTTTGCTTCACTGAAAATTGTGGTGCGAAAAAAAAAACAGACCCACAGAAGAAGAAATAACACAAAGCATATTATTGAACGTTTTACTTTGCGTTCATCATCCAAATCGATCGCGTTCATGCGTTTCAAGTTTATGAATTTGGAAATATATCAACATTGTTGTTCTTCTTCTTTTTTTGTTTCATTCCGAAAATCGTGTTTCGTTGAATGATTCATATCGGCTTTTACTTTCTTCAAATCAAATAAAATGGAATTAAAAATGCGTCGCAACGCTTGACTGACCGTGCCACCGTATTACACGATAAATAACAACAAATTCATTAATCTAGGTCCAAGTACTGAATAAAACTGTTTTTTTGTTGTTGTTGTTGTTGGTGGTTTCTCGCTTTGGCCGAAAAATTGCATTCGCAGCAAATCTATTAAATTGATATTTATCGCATCATGTGTCGTACGTAATACACCATGCCCCATGGCTGATGCTACGAATTCGAAAATGCTATAATTTTGGTTGAATATTTCCCGAACCATTACCACTGGAGATATGTATCGTACCTTTGCACAAAAAGTCGTGTGTGTCTGTGTGTGTGTGTGTGTGTGTGCGTTGGTGTTGGTGCGGCATATGGTCGCATCTAAGAGAGCGGCAAGCGAGAGAAAATGTGTGTGCTGGAGGAATAAGGGTTTGGTTGCGTCGATACATGCTGGCGTTTATGGTTGTTTGGGTACATCTGCGTTTGTGTACGTGTGACTGGCTCTCTGCACGGTTGCTCTCGCTCTCGCTATCTGTTGGTGTGTTGGTGTGCACGCGTACCACTCGTATTTTTACATTCTACTGTTCGTTGTTCTACGACCCACACATACAGAAACACTGGCATATAAGGCTCATATTTTGATCAAATCAAATGGATCCCCATAGGCCGAAAGAGAACGAAGGCCAAAATATCACCTAATTGAACAACTAAAAAGCATGTGTCGGTTGTGAAAATAAATATCGAATGAAGTAAAAAAAAAACCAGCCGAAGAAATAAATGTCTCGCCTAGCACATGCCGACCATTTAAAAAACCATTTTATTTACGTATCATTGCACACATACACATACACCGTATCGCACCGCACACTTTTGGCTCAATTAAAAGGGTGAATTATTTAGCCAATTACCGATGCATTATTCAACTAATTTTCGAAGCGAATACCGAAGACACTTCACTTCTCAATTCAGAAACGAATTCAATCAAAATTCTGCGAAGATACGTTCTACGAAGTAGGTTCGTTGTGGTTGAACACACACGATGTGACCACCTTCTGATATTCGGTTATTGACAACAGACAGATTGCTGTGAGGATTCAATGTCATTAAAAAAATTGTATAGAATAAAACAAACGCTGTAATTAATTGTAGTATGTCGCGTGTAAGCTATACTCTTTTATTTCGTTGGTTCTTGCACGACGAACATATCCATCGATATGCCACATTTCAATGGATAACAAATGGTCGAAACAGCCGGTCACTTTTCCTTCGTTGTCGTTTAGTTATTGCTGTTCTTTTATTCATGTACATTTTTCACATACTCTCGCCCTCTCTCTCTCTCTCTCTCTCTCTCTCTCTCTCTCTCGCCCTATGTACTCTTCCATGGTGGACTGTGGTCGATATCGTCCCGTCACACACAGTTTCTATTACAAAACCAATTATTTGAAAGTGAAATTTTGTGACTACAATTTTTTTTTCGCCGTGATGGGCTTTATTTTCATTTCGATTTCGTTTGTTTGTTTGTATGCATGGTTTGCGTGTGCGCTCATGCTCTCGATCTTTTAATTTATTCATATTAAAAAATACACATACACAAACAGTTCAAGTTCAATTATCATCATTGGCAAGGAGAGAAACGGTAAAATGTGTTTTTCGTGTTTGCCACACACACACACACACAGATAACATACTGAGTCACATCGGATACGCATCAAATCACACCACTCACGGCATAAAACATGTCTTAGTGCTTTTTTATCAGTCGTATAACGTTTCAAATAACAGAACGCCGTCTCATTTCAAATGCACATTACATGCGATTTTTTTTTTACTTTTTCTTCGATATAAAACCAATACTCTTCGGAAGGTATCTCACTCCAACTCTCTCGCTCGGTGTCTCCATCTCTCACTAACTCACTCACTTTTGTGCACGTTTTCGAGTATTTCGCAAATAATTGCGCAAAATTACGATTGAGCAATGTCGAAAACAAAACGAAAACTTTTTTTTTTCTCGCATAATACTGATGAATCGATGCATGCCGAAAA